AGCACTTCAGTTTCAGATTCCCAAAACCTTTTAATACTGCTACCTGCAAATGTATGAATTTTACTTTTGTATTGAAAAGTAAATGTGCTTTTTTACATGTTCACCATTCACTTGAATCATGAGACATGCTGCCATAATTAAATCATTCATTTCTAATTCATGCCAGACATTAAATAGTATGTCTTTTTCTGTTTAAGAAACTCACTTATCTTGGGAGCAGGATTTTGGACTGGAGAGGGACCATTAATGATTGCAGATTTTCAGTTATCGGAGAGACTTAGTAGAAATCCTTAGCTAAAGCTACATTTTGGACATTTGGTTTCAAATGTGCAACTTTGTGTCAAGAAATTTTATTTTTATGTCAGCTGAATTGAATGTGCAAGCATTATTTAATTTTCAGGAAGTGACAGTTCTTGCTAGCCTAGCTCAGAGACTTTTGGGGCCAATTGGCAACATGTACTTTGCAGGCTGGATCCAGAGCAAATTCCAAGTAGTTACAATTTCCCCTTTGAACAAATAGGATTATTACCTCATGTCCATACTAGATATGGGCAAAATTAAACACTTGCTTACTACACTTCATCACATTCCAGTGATATACCTTCATCATATTAACATTTCTCTTTCTGAGTCAGATATACCACTTGCACTCCTAGTCATGCATAAGAAACAATGTAACTAAAGTCAAACTTATATCAGCAGGATCCCTGGTTATTTCAGTATTTGTGAGATTTGTCACTAGTATTTGGCATCATAATGTAAATGAGTAACCTAGAGATTAATTATTTTCCATTTTATCACAGAATACTTGGCAGAATATTTGTGTCAGGAAGAGATTCTGTCTTCACAGGGGTAAAAGGTTAAAACAACAGTACCCCCTTTTCCTAGTAGTATTTTGTGTTAGCTCAAACAGTGATTTACTTCAGCTTAGAATCATAGAATCATAGGCCTGGAAGAGACCTCAGGAGATCATCGAGTCCAGCCCCCTGCCTACCTAAATCATCCCAGCCAGGACTTTGTTAATCTGGGATTTAAAAACTCCCAGGGATGGAGATTCCACCATCTCCGTAGGTAACCCATTCCAGTGCTTCACCATCTTCCTAGTGAAACAGTTTTTCCTAATATCCAACTTAGACCTCCCCCACTGTAACTTGAGACCATTGTTCCTTGTTCTGCCATCTGTCAACACTGAGAACAGCCTCTCTCCATCCTCTCAGGAACCTCCCTTCAGGAAGTTGAAGGCTGCTATCAGATCCCCCCTCATTCTTCTCTTCTGCAGACTAAATAAGCCCAGATCCCTCAGCCTCTCCTTGTAAGTCATGTGCTCCAACCCCCCCAATCATTTTGGTTGCCCCTCCATTGGATCCTCTCCAGTGTGTCCACATCCTTTCTATAGAGGTAGGCCCAGAACTGGACGCAATACTGCAAATGTGGCCTCACCAGAGCCAAGTAAAGGGGAATAATAACTTTTCTAGATCTGCTGGAAATGTTCTTCCTATTGCACCCTAATATGACATTAGCCTTCTTGGCTACAAGGGCACACTGTTGACTCATATCCAGCATCACATCCACTTCTAATCCCCAGGTCCTTTTCTGCTGAACTGCTCCTTAGCCAAGCAGTCCCCAGCCTGTAACAATGCTTGGGATTCTTCTGTCCCAAGTGCAAGATTCTGCACTTGTCCTTATTGAACCTAATCAGATTTCTTTTGGCCCAATCCTCCAATTTGTCTAGGTCACTCTGCACCCTATCCTCAATGTATCTACCTCTCCCCTAGCTTAGTGTCCTCTGTAAACTTGATGAGGGTGCAATCTATCCCCTCGTCCAGGTCATTAATAAAGATTCAGAGGGGTAGCCGAGTTAGTCTGTAACAGGAAAAACTTTAAAAACAACCAATAGTCTAGTAGCACCTTAAAGACTAACAAAACATATAGACGGTATCATGAGCTTTCGTGGGCACAATCCACTTCTTCAGAAGACCAGAATGTAGGAAGTCCAGATCCAAGAATAAATAAGTGAAGGAGGGAGAGGGGGAGAAGGAAAAAAAATGAAGGGGAGGAAGAAAAAAGAGAGCACGATTAGATAAGCTTCAGAGGGATAGCCGAGTTAGTCTGTAACAGGAAAGACTTAAAAAACAATAAATAGTCTAGTAGTACCTTAAAGACTAGTTACAAGAAGCTGAGAAGAACCATTATTTTGCACTTGGAGAGGAAGATGACCAACACCAGATTCTACACAGACATCAAGAACCATTAGCACCATTAGCACTTTGTTCAACATAAAAATGTTGAACAAAACCAGCCCTAGAACCAATCCTTGGGGCACTCCACGTGAAACCAACCACCAGCGCGGCTACACACGGCACGGACTAGGTAGTTCGGACTAGGCTTCCTATTCCGAACTACCGTTACTCCTCGTTTCACGTGAGGCCTAGTCCGAACTACCTAGTCCGTGCCGTGTGTAGCCGCGCTGGTGGTTGGTTTCACGTGGAGTGCCCCAAGGATTGGTTCTAGGGCTGGTTTTGTTCAACATTTTTATGTTGAACAAAGTGCTAATGGTGCTAATGGTTCTTGATGTCTGTGTAGAATCTGGTGTTGGTCATCTTCCTTTAATCAAACACAAGTTTTAGAGGCAGTAGTTAAGGCAGTAGTTACCTAAGTCTTTACCCTCTGATGATTATTTGGTGGCCTATATGGAATGAGCTCGTTGTCCTAAATCAGTTCTCAGTGGGCAAGTGTGCACACCACAATAAGAATCAGTCCCAAAACCAATCCAGCAAAGCATTTCAGACATAAACAATCCTATTGAAATCATGGCTGGACCAGATAAGAGTAATAAACAGTCTTGAATCTGAGCGCACATATCCCCAGACAATGCTTGGATCCTGGACACCTGAATGACTAGAGAAAGGAGCCAGTGAAGCTTCAGCGTGAAAAGGGCCCAGCCTACAAAGCTCCTGACTGGGGAAGATGTTCAGCCACATTGATTGCCTGGGATGCTCTACTTACATCAGAAAGAGGTATATGAAGTAGCCTGAGTAGCTAGAGGAGTCCTTGGCTAGTGACTGCTATAGACCCTGCCTACTGGACTCCTGAGCCCTGCCTCCCAGGCTGTTCCTGGTTCTTCCTTTTTCCAGATCCCCATTGGTTTCCAGTTCATGCTTTCCTGTGTCACACCAGATCCTTGCTCCTATCCCCTGGCACTTGGCTTTGACTCTGGCCCTGACCTTTAATTTTTTGCCTGACTCTGGCCATCTGGTTCAATGCTCCTGGTGCTAACCATTAGGCATGACTGCCCATGAACTCTTCTTGGCAGTATTGCTGTAGAGATGCATACAGACTAAAGTGCCTTCCATTCCCTAAACGTATGGTTGTTTCTTCAGGTCACAGTTGAAACACCTTGGGGAGAAGAAGGAAGCTGAAACTGTTACAGCTTGTGCTAGAATTGTTGACTTTTGATGATCAAGAGAGTCTTAACTTTCTAGTGCTGCCAATGGGGATCTCTTCATAAATACTACAATTAATACAATATTGGGTAGATTGGGAAAGGGCTTTCAATGCCTTTTACCATTTATCCAGCCTTGTCTGACTGAAAAGTTTTCAAGGAACGACTTTATTATGTGTTTGATCACCTTCTCTATGATCATAAGGTAAATCATCTACACCAATTATTAGAGTAATTATAGACTAAAAAGAAATTCCTCTTTAAGGGCCTGATCCATAGAGCCTTGCAAATCCACAATATGCATTTTATATCTGTAGGTATCCGCATGCACAGATACGGATGTGGATATCCACAGATCATTTTTACAGATGCAGATATCAATTTTATATTCGTGCAGGGCTCTACTGATCCAGACTTCAATGAAGTAAATGGAAATATCCCCATTGAAGTCAAAGGGTTATGAGTCAAACTTAAATATCCCCCACACAAAATTTCTTCTTAAAGAATCAAACAAAAATGGAAAGAAAACAATACGAGCTCAATATTGGTTTCAAACGAGAGAAACAAGATATTTATATTCATAGAGCATGTTCCAGAAGAAAGGTAACTAGACTGTTTCTAATCTTAAAGTGGTTATAGATCTTTTAAGGGATCCCTGTTTATTATCTGTATTATTTCACCAAAATGGAAGATGAAGCATCAATAGTAATGGAATTATCAGTTAATAGATTACTATTGAATTGTGAGTACAGCATAGTTATCTTCTTTTCTAAAGATTAACCTAAAGTATATTGTTCAAGGTATTTTTCCAATGAAAAGAAAAATCCATGTATTCTCTATTAATAATCAGAAGAGAATTCTTTTAAAGTCTACAAATTTGACATCTTTTATAATAATCTTGATGTTAAAATATAAAAAGACATTAAAAAAATAATGTACAAGTAGTAGATTATCAAAATAATCTCAGCCTGAGTAATTATATTGATCTAGTTTTACTTTTAATCAGAATCAGAACAGTTTTTTTCCATTTTATCTCCCTCACTTCTCTTGTCATTGCCCCCCACCTCATTTTATGTATTTATTGTCACTGAAAAAGGGGGGGGAATAAAAAAGGGAAGAGAGGGAAGGAAAAATTAGGATGGGGTATTGAAAATTTTAAAATGTTGTGAACATTTCCTCACTCCTTTTTTGCTGTACATTTTTGAGACCTCTAAATGAAATGAACTGTAAAATGTATGGTGTATTCTATACTATATCTTAATGTAAATGCTTACATATATCTACTTATTCAACAGAAAAAAATCATCATTATCTTCTGGGCAACTACCCAGACAAAAGATATTAAAACAAAATGGAAATATTTTCATCATGTTAAGAAATCATTATCTTCCTAGTGGAACATGATAACTGGTGAAACAATTACAGTTTGAAACCTTTAAGTATTTCTGATCAAATGCATTTGTGTCCACTTGCCAAATGACTTTTTTCTGGTGAAGTTCTTTTCCTGCCTGTGCCTTGCTGAAGAAACACTTTTCATGCCTATTTTATTTTCTGACAGACGTTTTCAAGAAATGCCTCGTACTGTGAAGCACAAGATGATGAATATCGTCTAGAGGTTACGACTCCTTTGCAACGGATTGATTTGTTTATGGGGCAATTCAACAGTGTCCTGCTAACTTCAATATCTGTCTTCACCAAAGGGTATCTTACTGTTGCTAACCTAGGAACATCTGAGGGCCGCTTCATGCAGGTAAATGTAACTGTGATGTTAGCATATTTTAATGAGTTTACAGAGTCAGTAAGATAAATTAGAACCATAAGAAGCTGACTATAGATAAATGGGGTTGCAGAAAAAGTGGGGAAAATATAGCCACAGATTAATGGAATAATGAATGGAAAATCACAAGAGCTGAATAAATTGGAGCATCTGTAAGGAAACATACAACAGCATACTCAATACAGCATCTCTGAAGAAGATTGACTTTAAGTTCATCACAAGACTCAAGGGTTCTATGACTCTCTTATTTTTAGCTCTCTGATCATGATAATAAGGTTAGCCCTTTCTGATCTCACTGAGAGCACCCTTTCAGATGTAAGGCCTCCAACTCTTACTAGGGATGTAATAGTGTAGTTGATTAACCAATAAGAAAAAGCTTATAGGTAAATATTATAAACTACACTCATTTCCCCCTTCCTTCCCCCTGACAGTAATATTTTTAGCAGGCTGGCCAGCAGCCCGGCTTAGTTCCGGACCTACCTCTGCTGCAGCTCTGCATTTAAAGTATATTAGGAGGCAGGCAGGCAGCACAGCTCAGTTCCGACTTGTGTTGGGTTTGGAAACTCAGACTCCTCCCCAGACGGGCTACTGCCACCCCGCGCTGCTGCCTCTGTATTGGCGGCAACAGCATGGGGAGACCAGCAGCTAGTCCACAAGAGGAGCTGGTTTTTAAACTGGCTCGCCTTGCGGACCGGCTTCCGCCTAGCATCCCACACTGCTGCTTCTGATACAGAAGCAGCAGTGCGGAGTAGCAGAGGGCTCCTTGGGAGTGGGGCTGGAGCACACTGTCTGCTGGCCTCACCCCCTGGGACTATAGAGTAGTTGAGTAACTGATAAGAATTCATGAATTGACTATTCAATTAACCGATATTTAACATCCCTAGCTCTTTCCTATTTCTATGTGGAATAACACAGTTCTCCCACATGTACCCAGGGACCAGTGGCCAGCTGTTTCACCTGTTCTAATCCCTTAACATTTTGCAGGGCCGACTGAATTTGGGGTACATGAGTTTCCTTCCTTCTGGGACTTGTGGTCAGTATTATAGTGCTGATAGCTTTCCTTAAAAAAAAATTCTTATTTTGCAGCCAGTACAAATCAATAGATGGAAAAAAACAAAGGTTAAAGCAGGAGAAAGCCAATACACATATCTCTCTTACCTGAAATACTACTAATAATAGCAACCTAGCAGGCTTAGCAACTTCAGACACCCTTTACTGGTGTCTGCTTATCTGTCAGTCAGGTTCTCTTCTCCCCGCCCTCCCCAACCCTCCCCCCTCTCTCCCCAGTGCGCTGCAGAGAAAGCCCTTGGCTACGTCTACATTGGCCCCTTTTCCGGAAGGGGCATGGTAATTTTTGAGATCGTAATAGGGAAATCAGCGGGGGATTTAAATATCCCCCGCGGCATTTAAATAAAAATGTCCGCCGCTTTTTTCCGGCTTTTAGAAAAGCCGGAAAAGAGCGTCTACACTGGCCCCGATCCGCCGGAAAAAGCGCCCTTTTCCGGAGGATCTTATTCCTACTTCAAAGTAGGAATAAGATCCTACTTGGAAGTAGGAATAAGATCCTCCAGAAAAGGGGGATATTTAAATCCCCCGCGGATTTCCCTATTGCGATCGCTGAAATTAACATGCCCCTTCCGGAAAAGGGGCCTGTGTAGACGTAGCCTGCCAGTGTTCTTAGTCCTCCAGGACAGTTCTTTAGTTATTAGTGGACTTTGGCCCCATGAGTCAGATTAGTTCCGTAGGTTGTTTAGAGACTCAACTGAGTCACCAGAGCTAATAGTTCTGCCAGCATTGTCACTTTATCGTCCTTATGTGGAAGCTGATCAGAGGAAGTGGAAGCTGGTCTTAAGCTATTTTCTCCTTCTGTCTAATCCGTCCCAGATGGTGTCCCTATTGGGAAGCATTTAATCAATGATATTTTTTCAGAAAAAAAACCATGTCAGATCCAGGCCACATACATTAACAACTGATTGTTCCAGGGCATCCATGTAGATGTCATACTTGCTGTCCTGGCTCCCCTTCCCCCAGGCTGAAGGAATCCCACCACCCTAACAGTCTCCTGCAGAGGTAAATGCTGCTGCTACTTACCCCTCTCAATCCTATGGGGAATGAATGAATAACTGGTACACTGTGATGCCCCTGCAGAGAGGTGACGTTGCTCTTGCTGGTCATCCTGTAAAGACAGGGTGTAAAAGTAAGTCTAGGAAATGACCTACCCAAAAGGACACATGGAACATTTTAGAAAAATCCAGTGTGAATCTCAAATATGAAGTCCCCAGGTTGAACGCACTGCCTTAAGGATGGAGGTTGCTTTCATACAGGGATGCCGAGTGGTTCAAGCTGTGTCCTGCAAGTCTTGGGACCCACGTTTTAGCCCTGAATGTAACCACTGATTCACTGTATAATCCTGAGCTAACAACTTACCCTGTCTGCCTTACTTTCCCACCTGAATGCATGCATTATAATGTTTTCTGCCCTCTTTGTCCCACAGTGAACCTTACTCCAGTAGGCTTTGGGTAAAGCCCTTGGAGATCTCTGAAGGAAAGTAAAAAGCGGTATTTTTATTGTGCATTCATATCTTGAACCGGACTTTATATTCAAGATTTTGTCCATCTCACAGAACACTAAATTATAACAATTAAAATACTTCCAGTCGACATTTCTCATTCTAGGGCCAGCCAGAAATGAAAAGAAAGGCTATTGTGTGAGCTGCATATTGCCATTAACAGAAACATTCACATCATTGAATTAGATTGGCTTGAATTACAGAGGGAAGTTATCATGAACATCGTACTGTAATAACACTCTAAGCCTTTCTTTATCCTGAACTGCCTTAGGCTCTAGTGTATCCATCAGCAGAATGAACACTCAGATAGCCTTTAATGACTGGTAACAGCACATCTGTGTAACCAAACTTAATATTTCTTGCCTTGGAAAAGGGTACCATGTCTCCAGGATACAGGAATCACAGCATTTTCCAGAATGCAATAAACACACACACATTACCTCTTTTTTACCCCTCTGATAGTTGTCTGGGTAATACTTCCAAATGTGTTCATTAACAAATTTACAACTAATGCAGAATTGCAGTGGAGTTTCTATGGTATTCTGTCTGGTATCTGCAATGAATGGAAAAAAATCCATAGGCTGCATCTAGACTGGCAAGTTTTTCCGCAAAAGCAATTGCTTTTGCGGAAAAACTTGCCAGCTGTCTACACTGGCCGCTTTGAATTTGCGCAAGAGCACTGACGATCCAATGTAAGATTGTCAGTGTTCTTGCGCAAATACCGTGATGCTCCCGTTCGGGAAAAAGCGCTCTTGCGCAAATGTATTTGCACAAGAGGGCCAGTATAGACAGCTAAAAACCGTTTTGTGCAAAAAAGCCCCGATGGCGAAAATGGCGGTCGGGGCTTTCTTGCGCAAAACCGCGTCTAGATTGGCACAGATGCTTTTCTGCAAAAAGTGCTTTTGCGCAAAAGCATCCGTGCCAATCTAGACGCTCTTTTCTGCAAATGCTTTTAACAGAAAAACTTTTCCGTTAAAAGCATTTGCGGAAAATCATGCCAGTCTAGACGTAGCCATAGAGAAGAGCCTCTTATTTTAATGTTGTTGGGATGTAATTGCAGAAAATCAGGATAATCTCACAATGAAATAATGCAGTGTACCACTCAACCTCCCAAATATTGAATCCAAATTTTATAGCAAAAACCACATTTCATAATAGAGATTTTATTTACCAGGACAAATTTGCAAATGGCCGTAGCTTGTTCTATCTTTATCCATATTTGCACTCACAAGTCATGCACAGTCATTTAGTGTGTAAATGATTGAATTCATATGCACAAAATCTGTGGTCAAGCAAAAGGGTTTTGCATATTATATCTCTGAAATTGACTATGATCCAGTAGAGTCACTTTAACTTCAATGAGCAGTCTGCTGCAGGACTAGGGTGTTAAAAAGTCTACCCTTTGGGAGCACACAAACACAGGTCATGCATTTAAAATGTCTGTGATGGGATGTGGTCACAGAAGACCCCTTTAGCACATTTAAAACTATAAACAGACTCTCATTTCGTATTTCTGACTTCATCTAAAAGAATGAATTGTGCACCAAAATAAAATATACAGACACAGCCCATTACCACATTAAAATTGATAGGATACATGAGGTATTTTGTCTGAAGCACATTTGTGTTATGCATATTTATATTCATAAGCCAAGTTTCATAAGGCATGGGAGCCATCACAGTGTCTCTATATAATATTTCATCCAAAATAAAATTTCAAAACAATTATTAAAGGCATAAAGCAAAAATAAATAAATTAAATTAAATGTAGATTCCTAAAGTTAGGCCTCAAGTCACAAAGGGACTTAGGTCACTTCACCAGTAGGCTGTTACCTATTCCTACAGGTGCTTAAACTTGCTAAAATGTTCACTGTTCAGTTTCCTATATACCTGTGTTTCTTCCTCTGGATATGTGCACTGGTGTCTCACAGTAGGCATCCCAGCAATCCACAAATCACCTGGAGATAGGTATTTACCTGCCTGTCTTACCTGCAAGGCTCTATCTAGTATGCTCGCTCAGAGTCTCACGCAGAAATCAAGGAAGAGGTAGTGCCTGCCTTATAACTTTTAGCCCAGTGATTAAAGCACTCACGTGGGATGTCAGAGATCCCAGGTTCAGTTCTCTCTTCTCTTTGATGGAGTCAAACTCTCTGACTAGGGATTGCATTCATCTCTGGTGAGTGCCTGTCCCTAGTTTACTGATGGGTAAGGGAAGTGGTCTTCCTTAGTCCCTCCTATGGAAACTGATCTGTTTTGTACAAATATTAGAGTAATTGGGCTGGGGAGAAGAGAGAAAGTAAGAATGACTCTGTAGTTCACATTCATATGTATCCTTTCTCTCCACCTTTCCTCTCCGATTCTCCTTTTCTGTCTCCATCTGCCTTCCTCCTGCTCTTCAGACAGT